AGAGGGGGCATAGGGTGGGGCGAGGGGTGGGTCTCGGAGGTGGGGGGTGGATTCTCACGAGAGCAGGCGGGAGGGGCAGGCTGGGCACCCCCAGCGGGTGAGCACGGCGCAGTTGAGCGCGGAGCCCCCCCCCACTGCTCGTTCAGGACCTGCCCACCCCCCGAGGGGCGCTGTCACACTAAACTGCCTGCAGGCTCCAGTAAACCAAGCCACGGGCAGGCGGAGTAAGAGAAGCGCGGCCCCTCCCGCCATGTAAGTGGAACTGGGCAGCGGCAGGGAACTCGGGCATGAAAAAATCATGAGGTAACCAAGCCGGGGCCTGTGCTCAGGAGCAATGTGGGAGGCAGGGCCCTGGGCGCCAGCCGGCTTGGGCCTCAGGAACAGGCCGTGGGCCCAGCATCCAGGAAATCAGGGCCTGGGCTGTGCCCACCAGTGCCCAGGCCAGCAGGGTGGCCCTTGTATCGTGGGGCAGAGGCCCAACAGGGGGTTGGCAAGGGTGGCCTGACCGTGGAGGGGCAGAGCGCCAAGGCAGGGCGGGACCCAAATGCTTCAAGAGCAGCAGGTGGCCAGGCCTGGGGCTGAGGGTCTCTGGGAAGCGGGTGTGTTGGGATTATGCAGCTGGTGACACCCGGAGCAGGGGGCCACGACCTGGGTCTGGGAAAGGTGTGACCTGTGGAGGTCCCTCAGCCAATGGGCTGCCTGGGCCTCTGTCCTAGGCCCTTTCCCAGTTTCCAGGGCTCCAGGCCAGTCCAGTTGGGAGCCCCCCCAGCCTGCACACACACAGGGCCTGTGCCAGCTCACACCACCAGCATCAGCGTTGCCTGGGCACCCAGCCTAGCTCACGCGCCCGTCGCCATGGCAGCAAGCTGCATGCTGGCAGGAGCCCAGGCTGGCACTAGTGTCCAGGGCCGGTGGTCTAGATTTGCCAAGGCAGGGGTCCTTTCTCTGGTAGCCCCAGAGGGTCCTGCCTGGGTGGAGGGAGAGGGGAACCAGTCAAGAGGCCAGGCCTGCCCATCCCCCAGCATCCCTGGAAAGTAGTAGTTTTCTGAGCGCTCCAGGATGAACGCCAGTGGCCGAGGGGCCCTTGACACAGACCTCTCTGCTCCTTGCCCCAGCTGGACACTCCCTAAGAGGGGCAGGAGCCAAGGACCAGCCCAGTCTTGTCTGCTGGGGGCTTCCAACAGCTGAAGGGACCCCTCAGCTGTGGCCAGGAGGGACCCTCTGGCTGTGTCCACAGGTGGTCACTCCATGAGATAGGGCGCTGGGGTGCTGCTCACTCAAGTGGCCCCTTGGTGCCCATCAGGAAAAGGCGCCCCTCACGATGCCTTTAAGATGGTGCATCGGGTGGCCTAACGTCTGGTCCAGCAGTCAAGGGTGGCAGCCCAGGGCAGTGGGCACACACTAGGTACAGGTCCTGGCTCTGGGAGGGGCTGTGTCAAGTTTAGAGGTGACCGGGGGTGGATGAATGGGACTCCCAGAGCGGCAGGCTGGACAGGGCACAGTGGCAGGCACGTTCGTGTTCCTGAAGGAGTGGCTGTGTGGACACCTGGGGCAGGGCCTAGGGTTTCGCGGGGTTCCACGAGGGTGGTAAGAGGGGCGGAGCGCCCAGCCCACCCGGGCTCTGGGGAGCAGTGCATACCTGGGGTGGGGGCCCTGAAGTAGACTCCCTAGTGGGGTACACAGCCTGATCTCCCGCTGGGCAGCCAGGGGTGGGCCGGATAGGGGTCTGGGGAGCATCTCCAGGGCCCGGGGGGTCGGCAGATGGCTGCAGCTCACTCTGCCCATCCCTGTCCATGTGCACTTTCACTCACATTCACACGTGCACACACCCACACACAGAGCTCAGCCCGTTACATAAGAACCCCCACGTCAGACATTCACGGGGACTTAAGTACCTACTATGTCCCAGAACCTTGGGGGAGGGGTACCAGAAAGAAACCATGACCCTAGCAAGCAGCTGGGCAGGGGACTCGGGTCCTGAGGGACAGGCAGGGACGGGGGAGGCCTGTGCAAACTACTTTCCTCCGAGGAAGCCTGGCCCGGGAGGCCCACCTCTGAGGCCCCCTAGGGCCCGAAAGGCAGCCCCAGGCAGTCCACCCACCTCCACCTGGGACCGTGGGGCCCCAGAATTGGGAGACCGCAGCCGCTTTGGCTCTGACGCTGAGAGGCTGCCTGAGCCAGGCCTACTTAGTGCCTGGCGGCTGGACTTCCTCCACGGGGCACGTGATGCCGCGAGCACCCTGCCAGCACCAGTCAGCACTAATGAGGCTGTCACGCTCCTGAGACGCCCGGCTCCGTGCGGGAAGGTGGGCGGGGGGCTCAGGGTGCAGATGGGGGGGCCATGGGCGCAGCTGCCCCTCGGGCCCCCCAGGCACAGATGAACTGAGGTTCAGGCTCACCGTGGCTTTTACCCACAACCCAGGGATGCTTCTCACATGGAGGCCTGGGCTGGGTCCCATGGTCTCCTCCGTGTCTGACGCGCTGGGCTTGGTCACTGCCAGGGGCTGGGAGGGTAGAGGAAGGACTCCTGGCCTTGTGTCCATTCCTGACTGTGGCCCCCCGTGCCCCCTGCCCACCCCCTAGGCTCACACATGCTCAGCCAAGTCCATTTCAATCGGCTGGAACCCCACAGCACCGGGCCCTCACGGTCTCGAGAGGGATGCAGGGGCTCGCCTAGGCCTCAGGGCCCACGAGGATGGAGCGAGGCTCTGGAGGCTGTGGCTGGAAGTGCCCGTGGCCCCAGGTCCTGGTCCTCAGGGAGCCCTGAGGGTCACTCGCTGTGACGAGAAAGGGGACACTGACGCTGGCCCAGGCCCAGGCCAGGCAGCTATAGTTTCACTACTTGGCTTCCAGCCCTCGAGGCAGGTGCAGGAGACAGACAGGCATGGCCAGGCCAAGCAGGCCGCTGCAGGTCCCTAAAGACGGCCCCCTGGGACTCAGCAGGAAGGGGGTGCAGGGGAGCCCCGGCAGCCGGGACTGGGAGGTGCCGGGTTTGGCAGTGGCCAGCTCCCGGCCTCTCCTAGCTGGCCTCATCCCTACATGGCCCCCTGGACCCGGCCCCATAAAGACCTCACAGTCTCTCTGGCAATGTGGACGGCAGTTCAGGGGTTCCCAAGGCCACCCAACAACGCTGGCCTGACCGGAGCTGTCCCATGGAGGAGGGAGAAGTCTCGGGCCCCATGAGGTGCTCAGGGTGCAGAGGTCAGCTTGGAGCTGGGCCCTCTCACCTGGGTCCTTCCTGCCGCCTCCCCCTGCAGCCCCGATGACTTTGTCTGCTCCATGCTCACGTTCTCACGTCACCCTCCCCGTCCAACCTGTTAGCAGGTGTCACCGTCTCCATCACACAGCTGCCATCGTGGCCCGAAGCAGGGGCCCTCTCCCCGGGGCCCGGCCCAGTGGGGACAGGGTAAGCAGCCGCCTCTCCATAACGCCTGCACCCTAGCTGGGTGCCGCGGGTGCCGGGACAGGGTGCCCAGCGGCTCACTGACACCGACACCCCCACCTGCCACTGTCCCAGCCCCGACCACCCTTGGGGAAGCATCAGGCCCAGGGCTTCTGACTGTGGCCAAGGGGCAGCCTAGGGGGGCGCATGGCGCAGGCTGCCGGGTGGGGGGCCTTGCCCTGCTCCTGGCAGCAGGAATCAGAGAAGCGGTAACTGGATCTGGCCGAGGCTCGGGCGGCTGCCGAGGGTGGAGGGCTGTGATCGGGTTGCGGCTGCGCTGTGTTTTCCACCAGGCGGCTTTTTCTACGTCGGGAAAGAGCTGGGCTGGGCTGGGCTGGGCGTCCGTGCAGTGGGTCTGGGGGCCTGAGGTTGGGGCAAGAAGGAGAGAGGCCAAGAGGTGCCAGGACCACGAGGCGGGACGCAGGGCCCGAGCCTGGGCCCCAGCAGCCACTGGGGAGGACGAGAGGGCGGTCAGGCCTGCGGCCGGGGCACCCTCCATCGCCGAGGGCCGGCTCTGGCCCCCTGCAGTCCAGGAGTGGCTGAAATCCAAGCTGGGGTAACGACAGGCAGCCTCTGTCCCTAAGCCGGCCCAGCTCTGATCCGCCTCCCACCCGCCCTCTGCTGCCCGCTGGTCATGTAAGAGCTGCCCGGGCCTACAGCCACTGGTTAGAGGAGGCGTCCAAGCAGGCAACGGGTCCATGACGCTGGCGGGACCTGGGGGCCACCGGCCAGCCCAGATGAGCTGGATCCCTGGGGACCATCCGGGGCCGTGAGCGCACAGAGGGAGCTTCCCAGGCCCCTGCCGGGCTGCCCCCAAGATGCCCACCAACGGCCTACACCAGGTGCTGAAGATCCAGTTCGGCCTGGTCAACGACACCGACCGCTACCTGACGGCTGAGAGCTTCGGCTTCAAGGTCAACGCCTCGGCGCCCAGCCTCAAGAGGAAGCAGATGTGGGTGCTGGAGCCCGACCCCGGCCGGGGCACGGCCGTGCTGTTCCGCAGCAGCCACCTGGGCCGCTACCTGTCGGCCGAGGAGGACGGGCGGGTGGCCTGCGAGGCGGAGCTGCCGGGCCCCGACTGCCGCTTCCTGGTCCTGCCGCAGCCCGACGGGCGCTGGGTGCTGCAGTCGGAGCCCCACGGCCGCTTCTTCGGGGGCACCGAGGACCGGCTGTCCTGCTTCGCCACGGCCATCTCCCCGGCCGAGCTGTGGACGGTGCACCTGGCCATCCACCCGCAGGCCCACCTGCTGAGCGTGAGCCGGCGGCGCTACGCCCACCTGTGCCCGCAGGAGGACGAGATCGCCACCGACAGCAACGCGCCGTGGGGCGTGGACGCCCTCATCACCCTCATCTTCCAGAACCGCCAGTACTGCCTCCGGTCCTGCGACAGCCGCTATCTGCGCAACGACGGCCGGCTGGTCTGGGAGCCCGAGGCCCGTGCCCGCTACACGCTGGAGTTCAAGGCGGGCAAGCTGGCCTTCAAGGACTGCGACGGCCGCTACCTGGCGCCCGTGGGGCCCACCGGCACGCTCCGGGCTGGACGCAACACGCGGCCCGGCAAAGACGAGCTGTTCGACCTGGAGGAGAGCCACCCGCAGGTGGTGCTGGTGGCCGCCAACCACCGCTACGTGTCCGTGCGGCAAGGTGAGCGGGGGCGGCCTCCACGTGGGGGCTGCGGGGGGAGTGGCCGCGGGG